TTGCTCTGTTTACCGAAAGGCGCAACATTTAACAAAAACGAGCGTCGAAACATCGTAGAAACTTTTTTTCAAAAATATTTTGAAAGAGAGAGTTTTAAGGTCTAAAATCTTTTGATCAAGATCATTTTGGTTCAAAAAGAGGTATGAAGTTGGGATTTGACTCTCTCCTTATCGAAAAAAATTGAACCTTTGCACTGCACATCTTTCATCACCAAGTAAACAATCAGTAGCACCCAAGTCTTAAGGGCGGTCAAAAATGGAGTGTCTACACACATGTATTAATCAAAGGGAAGATGGAAATCCCAATTAGATGCACCAAAAATTGCCCCTAGTATCTAGTCATTGGCCACTGGTTGGGTTTATGCCCTTTGTTTGACGGTTGGCCCGATCAGATGTATTGAAAATTGCCTCTAGTGTCCAATCACTGGCCACCTTTTTAAACATTATGCATGCATGTGTGATGGGGATCATCAGATCCTGGAACAGTTGCCAATCAATCAAACTCAAGTTTTCCCCTGTCCCAGCATGTTGAAAACTTACTCCAGTCCCCTCCAAAGCAGTAACGGATTCCTCATATACACTTTGCAATGATCATGAATGCAATGCCCCGTGTATGGGCACTCTCAGTTTGTATATAAATTCCATACATGGACTTGTTTTTGAGTTCAGAGCAAACATTCGTGTATGGAATTTTGACCGTGCCACTTTGTTGAACTTTGAGTGATAGACACGTTATGGTGACTCAATGAAAAGCACTTTTGAGCGACAGACAGGCTATAATGACTCGATGAAAAGTGCAGGCTGAACGACAGACACCAGGCACTACACAACAAAATTCACAACTGAACCAAAAGCAAAAAAAGACCTAAAATGGCTGATCATTCATAATGCCCCTAGTATTACTTAGGCTCTTTTTAAAACTCAATTTCGATTCCTTTTTTTTTGCTCGAGTTAGAGATTCTACTGATAAGTTCAAGTATTGAAAATTGTTCCACTTGTTGATTCAAGCTAGTTCTTTATTTACCTAATGCAAGTATGTGATATGAGCAGCAGTCGATGTAGCTTATGGATTGATGCAAAGTTGACGATGCGAATTGGGCAAGTTTATTGGGTCGAGATGGATAAAATGGATATGGTTGAGACTGAACTTCATATTGAAGTTACCTACGTATCCCAAGAGTGGGAATCAGGCCAACGTAGTTTATGGTTGAGGTTCACTCAAGTGTTAACACTCTTCTTTTGCGCTCTAACTTTTGCCAAAGTCACCCTTCGAGTTTTCAACCTCACGAGCTCTTTTTATTTGATTTCTCATTTTTCATGCTCTAACTTTTACCTAGGTCTCCCTTTCAGATTTTCAGCCTAGCGAGCCTCTCAAGGATTGCGTTAGAACACTTGTGGTGAATTTGATCAATAGTCATCCTCGCCCTAACACTGGAACTGGCTTCACCTTGAGTTGAGCTTAGTTCTCCATTGTCTTATGCATGTCTTCTCCCTTTCTTTCGCTCCATTTTTAGAATTAGCTCTTCTTGCAATGTGGTACCTCCTCGCATTGGCTTCCCCAAATTCAAACAAAAGTTTCCTTCCTTACAGTTGATTGGAGTTCATTCCAATGGATACCTCTGGCTTGATAGTTGACTTTCTTTTTCTTTTTTTTCTTTTTTCCTTTCTTTTCTTTTTCTTTTAATATCTTTTATCCATTTCTTTTTGAAATAACGAAAACACCAGGGAGAAATTCTATTATTATAAGGTCCAAAAGTTGCCTTATCCTTGCCAAAATGATCGCCTACATGTGAAGAGCATCCCCAAGACAATGCAGAATACCACGCACAATTCTGAATCTATCTTTGCAAATTTTGTAGAAGAAACAGTTGAAGAAGCAGCTTAAACTTTTGAGATCATAAAGGACTTTGCGTCGATTAGTCATAATGCACTCGAACCATTTGGGGGATCATTCTCAACACTCAAGCTTATTAATAGAATCCCATTCAAAAAACAAATTTCAAAGCTATTTCTATTTTTAAAAGGTCACACATGCGTTACTGTAGGCATAACAAAATGATCAAAAACTTGACTCCCGCTTTCTTATTTAGAAAATGAAGACCTGAGGGTACACGAGAGCGACTCAAGGGAAAAGACTCAACTGACACAATGACACAAAAGAATACAAAAAAATAAAATAAAACTCGATACACCACTCGACTATTTACTGGACACAACTCAAAACAAAATCAGCATCATTGAGACAAAAGGGGTTTTCACTCTCCAAGTCCATCTGCGGATTTCAAAAACAACTTCAAGTAGCCCACGGGAGGGTTCAAACCTGCCTTCAATTCAGCAATACTAATATCCACACCCAGTAGGATTGATTTCAGACTTTCAAACTGAGTTTCACAGATTGAGCCTCCCAATTATCCTGGTAGTCCTTACACATCTCAATGACCGTGCTGGCTGGGGTTAAGGTTGGCTGTTGGCAAACCACGGATGGGATTTTTGTTATGGAGTGACAATCTATTGTAGTCAGCGAGAGGTTTATTCATAGCTTTGGGCTTTGCAGGTGGGGTGATGACCTTATTGTCAATCAATTCTTGAATTTCGTGGCAAAGGCGAAAGCAACGGTCAATATGGTGACCGTACTGCTGATGGAATGTGCAATATTAGGTAGGGTCATATCTACGTAAGAGAGTATTAGGGAGAGGTCGAGGATTAAGAGATTTGAGATACTCTTTCTCCATCAGTACCTTCAATGCACAGGTTTGGCTCATATGGAGATAGGCAAACGTTCGTTTTTTGGAGGATGAAGCATCAAGTTTAGAAACATTGGCAAATGGGTTGGCAGGTGTTGGCTAGGTATTTATGAGCTTAGGACTGGACTCAGGATGGGTGTTTCTAGTAAAGCATCCCTTTTCATGGCTTACCCTTTAAGTCAAAATGCTGTCAACCTGAACGATAAAAGCGTCATCCACAGTCTTCTCAACAACTGCGAGCACTTGCTGCTTGTTCAACCCTTTGACCTTTAAAGTCTCAATAGCCTACCGAAGATGTGTATAGGGATCAATACTTGTCCTGGCCTTATTCTTTCCACTTGCTTCAGCTTGGTCAAGGGATTGGGTGGCTATATCGAAGCGAGGCCTATTTGTTGTTGATATGTCATCACCCAGACTTGAGATAGCTTCGGGTTGGCCCTTTCCAACTACAGCTCACCCCAAGATTGGAGAGCTTTTTGACATGAACCTTTTGGCATATGATGCGGTCGATGATGGAACCAAGACCCCAAAGGCTAAATCTGCCATAGTTCTCTGAAGATCTTGAATCATGTTTAACAACTCAGGAGTAGCGAGCTTGGCCACTGGTGCCTGCAGTGCATTTAAACCAACTTGGTCTTGATGAATAAGTTGGGTTGGACTCTTTGGCATAGGCAGGGTCGGCCCTGGCCATAGGCCCACAAGGCCATGGCTTAGGGCCCCTCAAAATAGGCCCAAAATAGGGGGCCCCTCCTATTATAAGTTAGTATAATATTTTGGTATGTTTTAAGTCTAAAAAAAATTAAAAAAGGCCCAAACTAACTTAATTTTTTGGGGAACTTACTGATAAGTCCCATGTACTAAATTCAAAACCCAGCTAATCCCAAAACAAAATACTTGCACCAATTAGTCCAATACATTTTTAATTGTTACAAAAAAATCCTTTTTTTTTTTTTAATTTACAGACACTGTTCACATCTTACTACCGTCGGACTTCCGTCAAACGGTCGCCGAAGACTCGTCGGAATGTTCAACATCGCCGGAGACTCGTCGGAATGTTTAAAACATGTTATCAAAACTGTAAAATTTTACAGTTCTAAAAAATGTTATAAAACTGTAAAATTTTACAGTTTTAAACCATGATTCATTCCAGCACCAAAAAAAAAATTTGAAACTGCAAAATTTTGTAGTTTTCACCTCCTGTAACTAAAACTCGAAAATTACTTGTTCAGAATTCGAAAATTTTCTCATTACAAATCTGTGTGATATCTGTACAAATCTGAGTCATTACAGATCTGTTTCAATGATATTATAGATCTATTTCATCATCAACAACAACAACCATAGATCAACAACTATCCCAAAAAAAATCTGTAAATAGAGAGAGAAAGAGAGAGAAATTGACAAAGATCTATACACAAATCTGTTCAATCTAAGCACAGATCTGAGGATGAGCGTCTTCTTGTTCTTGTTCTTCATCGTCTTCTTGTTCTTGTTCTTCATCGTCTTCTTGTTTGACGTTAGGACTGAGATTAGGGTTAGAGGAGGAGGCGTAAAGAGGGAAACAAAAAGCAGAGATAGAGGGGAAAGGACTTTTGGGTGTACTCAAAAAGTTATGGGATTAAATGGTGTTCACATGTTCCACATGGGACCTATGGGTAATTTCCTGACCCATTAAAAGGCCAATAGTTAAGGCCCATCCCAACAATTTGAAAGGTCCATTTTTTCTAATTCCTAACCCTATCTTCTCTTAATCCAACCTTCCCTACATTTGTTTGATAGCACACACCAGCAGCATAGGGACGGAGTAAGCACAGGTAATTTTTTTATTTTATTTTATTTTATATTTAATTAATTAAATATTTATCTTGTCTTTTGCAAAATTAATTGCTATTATAATATTGGTATTTACATCATCAAGAAGAATTTATTTAAGTTTAATAGTTCACATCATATAATTTAAAAGTTTTGTGTTTTGTTAAGTGGTGGTGCTCTTGTTTTGAATTTTGATCTAAAAAAATATTTTGATCTCAGCATAGCAAGCACAGGCAATTTTTTTTTTCTATTCAATTAGTTAAATATTTGTCTTGTCCTTTGCACAATTAATTGCTATAATAATATTGGTATTTACATCATCAAGAAGAATTTGTTGAAGTTTAATAGTTCACATCACATAATTTAAAAGTTTTATGTTTTGTTAAGTGGTGGTGCTGTTGTTTTGAATTTTGATCTAAAAAAATATTTTGATCTCAGCTCATC